TAATGATGATGCCTTGGTATAAAAGAAGGCTTGATGAACGAAAGCGGTGAGATTAGGGGATCGGGTGCCACGTTCCGGTACCAGGATAGAATATGGATCGGGTGTCACGTTCCGACACCAGGATAGAATATGGATCGGGTGCCACGTTCCGGTACCAGGATAGAATATGGATCGGTGTCACGTTCCGACACCAGGATAGAATATGGATCGGGTGCCACGTTCCGGTACCAGGATAGAATATGGATCGGGTGTCACGTTCCGACACCAGGATAGAATATGGATCGGGTGCCACGTTCCGGTACCAGGATAGAATGAGGATCGGAGTTTCACGTTCCGACACCAGGATAGTATATTGAGGAGCGGAGTGTCACGTACCGACACGAGGGGAATAAAGATAATGAATCTTGAAATATGTTAATATATCCAATGTAATGAACTAAATTCCCAAATGAGTATGATGAGGAGGTGTGAGTCCTCATTGATGTGCTTGGTGTTGTAACCAAGGGTTATGGTAACTGTAAATGCTGCCTGCTAAGGATATTAGTTGATTTTATGATATTGCTTAATACATACTGTTTTTTATTTTGAGTTGGCCGATGATATCTACTCAGTACCAGTGTTTTGTACTGACCCCTACTTTTATTGTTTTCTTCTTATTTGTGGAGTGCAGCAAATGTGCCGTCATCTTCGACTCAACAGTAACTCAAGCCAGTCTTACTACATCGGAAATTCAGGGTGAGCTAATGCTTCTAGCTTGGACTGGATCTTCTTCTTCAAGTCTTGATGCCTTGAACTTCCGGCATGGACTAGCTTCTTATGTATTTTTAGCTTCTTAGAATACTCTTAGTTTAGTAATTTGATTATAGATGTTCTTGTGATGATGACTTCCAAATTTTGGGAATAATAATAGTTATTGATTTTATTAATGAGTTTAAGTCTTCCGCATTACTTTATGTTGATATTACCTTGAAATGTTAAGGTTTAGATTGGTTGGTTCGCTCACATAGGAGGGTAAGTGTGGGTGCCAGTCGCGGCCCGGATTTGGGTCGTGACATTTAAGGACATTTTTTTACCCTTTTCCCTTTTACATATAACAAACATAAAAATCATATTTGTATGTTATAACTATAGTTTGCATAATTGCGTTCCATAACAAATTTTATGTTTGATATGGAGCATCATATTTGTATAATTCACAACACACACTCAATTTTATATAAATTGTTCTGTTTTGTTAAATTCATTTATATATTGTAATTTGTATAACAAGATCTGTATTTGTATAATAATAAGTGTATAAGACAAAAATATATGTATTTGTATTTGTATATACATTTTCTCCCGCGTTATACCGAAAATGATTAATTGTATACAGAACTAGATGACAAAAAATGAAATACTTGCTGTAAATTACAAATAAAATAAACTATGACTATAACATTTAATTTAAATTAATAATTTCTTATTTCATACAATTTTCCCTAAAATAGAAAGTAAATCATAATGATATTGTAGTATATATTTAAGGGCAACTTTAACATATAGCAAATAAAAAAATTATATTTGTATGCTATAGCAAAGTTTGCAAAATTGCGCTCCATAGCAAACATAGAAACTGTATAATTTGCTATACAACAGTTGAAGCAAATTATATAAAACGAAGTGTATAAAACAAGAAAGAGAAAGACACTTGGGTAGAGAACGATATAAAAACGAAGTGTATAAAACGAATTGTATTATTATAAGTGTATAGAACGATTATATACAATTTGAATTTGTATAAAATGAGAAAGAGAGAAAGACAAAAGAGACTTGACAAGGAATCTACAATTGAATCGAATTGTATAAAACGAGAAAGAGAGAAATTAGATGCAATTTGAAAATTGTATAAAACGAGAAAGAGAGAAAGGCAAAAGAAACTGGGCAGGGGAGTATTTTTATTGTATAAATATAAGTGTATAGGACGAAAATATATGTACTTGCATGTGTATATACAATTTTCTCACGCTTTATACAAACAAAAACACAATTTATACATTTCGCTTCTGTTTGTATAAGTGAGAAAGGCGAGGGCGGCGAGCGAGATTTGGGAGAGTGGCGAGCGAGACTGGAAGAGGGGAGAGAGGGGAACAAAAATATATGTATTTATACAATTTTCTCTGCTTTATACAATGAGAAACAATATTTATACACTTGTGTTTGTATAAAAAGTGAGGAAGCGAGCGAGAGATTGGAGGAGAGTGGCGAGCGAGATATTTGGGAGAGAGATGTCTGACAATTTTTTGCAAACGTTTGCTATGAAGCACAATTAGATCAAACTCTAGCTACTCCATTTATTTTAGGTTATTAGTTTGCCATTATATACGATTTTCCCTATATTTAATCCCTTTTCAGTTGAGAATTCTGAAAAGTGAATTATAGTGCCAATTATTATTATTTATAATTAATTTCTTCTCTACTTTTCATTTGCAATGACTTCTTAATTGAACGGCTATGCTTTTGAACTAGATTTGAAGCCTTTTTTTTTTTAATTTCAATTGCTTGAATTATGCTCAGCGGAGTAATAAATTCACGACATTTTTTATTTAACTTCATTACTTTTTATTGTGTTTTTCTTTTATTGTGCAGGTTGATTAAGGTGTGCATGTTGTACTTGAATTATTTTATATCTGAGAATATTGTTAAGTTTAATTGACGCAATAATTATTATCATCGAAGCCGATCATACAAAATCGTAATTGATACATCATGATGGTTTGTATGAAGTTTGATTGGGAAAAAAAAAATCAAAATAAAATTATTTCATGTGAAAATGAAATACATGTTAGCTAATTTTATATCGTCTTATTTCTTTTTACTTAATTTCTTGTGTAAATCATGCATAAGGAAAATGACTATTGAAATTTGAATGAATCAAGGTCGATTATTTTTTTATTTAATATTTTGTAAAATTTATTTTCTTTTCTACCTAAATTTAGTTTGGGAAAAACTTTTGAACGATTCCATGCTAATTTTAGTGGATCTTGTTTTGGTGTGGAGATTTTTTATTTATTTTTGTGATTAAAATTGTGGAATGAGTGAACTTCAAAGAACATACAATATCTTATTCTCATTCAGTTCTTTACATTTTATATTCTATTTGTATCACAATTATAATAAATTTTATGAAAATCTACCTTGAGCACATATATAATAATGGTGTTATTTTGTTTAAACCTATATTAAAAGAAAAAACATTTAAAAAGAAATTTAAAATCTTATGTATACAAAAATGATCTAGCTGCAAGTTCTTATTTTTTTCATCCAACTAGATTGTTGATATTAATAATTATCATGATTATACATCTTTTATCTCTCAAGTTAATTTTAATTGAAATATTATAGCATAAATTCATTGATACTTTATTTTACAAAATAATCTCACTAAATGCGATCAAATTCACTAGTTATACTAATACGTATCACCCCTAGATACTAGAATTCATCACATAATTGAAACTTTGTATATATAAGCATCCTTTACCTGAACCAATTTTGTTGTATTCCGTACTCTTCTTTTCCGAAAGTTACTTTTGTTCCTAGTTATGATTTACAAATATTAAACTCCATTTAACTTAAATTCAGTCTTCACACATGAGCCATATGACATAACTTATTAAATAATTTTCAAACTTGACCCATTTATAATTAACTAAAAATTAATTATTTAAGAAATAATCGTAGCTACACAAATAGTTCAATCTCATTTAAAATTTACAGGGTTGAAGTAGTTTTAGTACTCAAAATAATCCAACATATCATTATAGAAGTGATCTTCTTCCTCAAAACTCTGCCTTTGGACATGTTTATGAGTGTAACACGGAAACCTTCAAATATTTGTTAATGATCAACCGAAATAGATCATATTTACACTTTCAAAAATATTAAATTCAATCAGTGTAACAATATAGTAGCATTCATTTTAATTAGTCAAATAAATATTGTATTTACTATAACGTTAATAGCTTTTGAATATATACTGTGCTTTTTATAATTTTACATTAAATTAAAATAATGCACACGTGCAAAATATGTACACTGAAATAGTATTAAAAAAACTAAATATACATGAGAGATCATGTATAATAATCTGTTAAATTAGGACAGATTGCTGCAGAAGATCCAAATAGAAGAAATATAAGAAGTCATAGGATACCATTTGTAAAACTATTGATGTTAGATGAACTAACCTTTTGCTTTATTTGAAAATCCAACCCTCCTCAACCTATGACATTTACTTTAATAATTGATGCGGAAATCAAATTAGAAACTTTTTTGCTTATGAGGAGGGCATCTAACTTTTTATCTATCGAAATAATCTCTTATAATTTCTTACCAATTTAATAAAATAAAATGAAAATTTCAAATTCATTCATCTAAACAATATAAAAATCAAATTTATCCCACAAGAACGTTCTTCGTAATTTATTTTTTTAAATTTGAAATGCCTTTATTTTATAAATAATGATAATATTTCATAATAACATAAAATGACTATAAATTTCAATTCTTTTTGCATAAGCCCAATCAAAAGGCTTACAAAAATTAAAACATATGGGGGTAAAAACACAAGTAATTGTGTTGTTTAATTCAAGGTAGAACTTAAACATGTTGACAACTTAAAGAGTACTACTCTTATATACTAAATAAGTGAATTTAACTTTTAATTTGTGAACAGTGAATTGATTGAGAACAATTGACATTTTTTATTCAACGAAAATTATGAACACTAGATCTCCACAATAAAAAGATAATATATACTATCTTATGGAAAGCTGATTATAATACTGATAAAAGAAAAAGTTAGAGGTTAAAAAGTAAAAGGCACTAGCCGTATAGATTATAATAATAATAAGAGGAGACGAAATAAGATGTTTTTTGAATAATAGAAATGGAAAGCTGAAAATGACAAGTAACAAAACCTTCACCCAAAAAGATACCCTTCTTTTTTCCTTAACTTCACCTGCAAATGTGTTCCACTCTTCTTGTGTTGTGTGGCAGATCTCCGGTGGCCATGGCATACCTTTTTTTTTTCAAGGTAAATAACACACATCCAATCTTTTCACATTAATTCATACTCTATATATATCTAAAAATCTTTTTGGATTTTGAAATTTGAAAGTGTCTATTGTTTATCATATTTATTTTCTTATGTTATTTAAATTGTCAATTACTATGATTTATATATAAATTTCATTTTTTTAAAAAAATTGATGCAATAAAGAAATAGTGATGTTAATTACCCTTTTTTTTTTCGGAGATTCCATTCTATTCCATGTCCTCTGGCTCAGGCTGAGAATCACCATAGATGGGCTTATACTTTTTGTCTCTGTAGTTTGTTCTCATCTTTAGTTTATGCCCGGCCCTTGTAACAGATAAGTGGTATTTTTTTTACGCTTACCTTTACTTTTTATTTTTATTTTTAAAATATTTCATAAGTTATGCATTTCCCATTAAATATTTGACTGCTAAAAGGCAGAACAACCCATATTTTATTTTAAAATATATATGTGCGAATTTATGACTTTAAATCCCACATCTCCAGTGATTTGGAAAAAACCCTTCTATTGGACTCTCTCTTACTTCAAATTTACTTGTTCAATATACCAAGTACTTATTTGATTTGAAAACTAAGAGGTAATTTCTTTGTTATTTTTTGAGGTGTATAGCAAGTAAATAATAAAGTGTTATTATTATTGAAAAGAGTGAGCAATATTTAACTATTGTCTTAAAACTTAATGTTTAGCTATTTTCTTAATGTGAAAATAAAATTGGAACAAGTATCCCTCGGCCAAAACATAGAACAACTCTCTGAATTGCTTATGGAGATTTGAACTATCACAGACTCCAATTTTCAACAACTTTAACTGCAACAGATCAAACACCAATGTTGTATGGAGTTTATACTATCACAGTTCAAAACTCATGATTTTACCTCAGAATATTTTTATTAAAAATTTTATTTTCCATAAAAATACTTATTTTCCATTACATATCGATAAATGACTAAATATGAGCACAGCTTACTTCTTTTGTTGCTTCTTAGATATTTTTTTCCGTATATAAAAACATTTTTGTTTTAAAAAAAAAGAGTTAGAACCTGTTTGACATTGTTGTTGAAAAGTTAGAAGTGTTTTTTTCGAAAATAAAACACTTATATTTGAAAAATTAAGAGTTTGACAAATTATTAAAACTGCTTTTAAATAAAAGCAGAAGTAGTTTTTCTAAGGCGAAGAAGAAGCGTAGAATTTATGTTTTTTTTTAAAAAAAACATAACGTTATAAACCAAAATATCCCTTACATATATACATATTTATCAATATATTCCTTATTAATTAATATAATGTCTCATGAGTTTAATTAATTTTCATTCAAGAATTTTATTTTTTAATTTTTATATAATTAGTTTTTTAATTTATTTATGTCTTTATATAATTATTTATAAGTATATTGTATTGTATATATAATACTTTAATATATTATTTTTCAGAATTAGAAATAAAAGTAATAACAATATTTTTGTAGGATTAAAAGGAAAAAAGAAGAAGAGAAAAAGTATCAATTAAAGAACTAGACCCTCCCAAATAGTAACAAATAACAATTCTTTTCTTGATTTACAAATTATTTTCTTATAATTTTTTTTAAACTTTAGAGTATAACAACAAGAAAAGAGATAATAGCTAAGATTAAAACAAAAAAAAAAAGGTAACAAATGACAAAACCATTCTCCTTTTCAATATTTTTATAACAATATAAATCTACGTACATTATTGATTGAAAATTTAAATATGTATATTTTGAATAATTAAATTAAAAATATAATTAAAGTTTTTGTATGAGATATTTAAAATAGTTTCGCTCTGTAAGATAGTTTTAATATTAAATACACATTGATACTTGTCCTTTTTTGTCATTTGACTCTTAAAAGCATTTTTAGAAAAATATTAGTCAAACACAAATTGTTTTTTTTGAAAAGCTATGTTTTAAAAAATGCTTGTACAAATAAGCAGTTTTTAGCAGAAATGCTAAGTATGCTCTAATTTATGCAAGTCATTTTCTTTTACTGATTTAACATTAATTTCAAAAGAAAATTTCACAACAAAAAAATGTATGAATTACATGAAGATTTTTCTAAGGATTAGTATGAAAATTAGCAGAAAAGTTATTTTCATACCAATTCCTAGAAAAATCTCGTGTAATTCATACTTTTCTTGTAGTGATTTGTTGTGAATAAGTCAAATATAGGGTTTTATAAAAGAGATGGAGAGAATAATACTCCATTTCTTCCATTTTATTAGTCGCTTCTAGAGGTATTAAAATTGAGCCCAATTATAGGTAATTCACCTAACTTGTCGAGATTGTTAAGATCCTACTTTGATTTGCAATAGTAGTTTTTATGTAAAAAATAAAAGTCAAACCTAAATGACTTTTAAGTCAAAAAATAAAAGGTAGGGGAAACCTACTTTTGTTTAGACTTATTATAAGTTAAGCACTTTGTGACTTGTTGTAAGTCATTTTTGACTTATTTTAAGTTACTTTTTATATTTATCAAGCATTTTAGAAGTCAAAAACTGAATTAAAATGAGATTTGACCAACTTTTGAGTCAATTCAAACACCCTCTAAGGGATGAGCTTAAGATAATTTGAATTGAGTTCAATCTCAATCTACTCATTTTAAGAGATCTCTCAATTGAACCCAATTCAATCTCCAATTTCAACCCGTTGTAAGACTCTTTATGTGCATTGATGTAATGTATTTTCCTATATCGAAGGTATGAATTAATATTTATCTTGATATATCAATTTGTAATTTTTTTAAAAAGAAATTCTCTTGAGTTGAAAGTCAAATTGTGGTTTTAAAACTTAAAGAAGACTATTAAAATCATTGACATTAAGCGGGATAAATTGGGCGGGGTAAGATTCAACCTGTTTTTTAAGCCCAACCTATTTGAGTCCAAAGTAATCTTGAGCGGGTCAGGATCCAACCCAATATCAATTTCAACTAATTTTAATATCTCTAATTTCAAACCAACCCGCCCATTTGATCCCCTAGTCGCTTCTCAAGAGTTAAACTATATAAAGTTTAACCTAACATTTTTAAGATCTATTTTCATCATATTAACATGAGAAAAATAGTAACTTGTACTATTTTTTAGATAATTCAATCTTTTATATTTAACATATTAAATTATTTTTTATTCAATTTAACTTGGAAAAGTTGACTGGTGTAAAGCTAAATTTGAAAGAAGGAAAGTAGAGTTAGAGTATATAGATAATGAGTAAACAATTGGATTTGCATGTAGTTAAGGTTGTAGTGATGGTCAGTGGCGGATTTAGGATTTTCATGAAGTGGGTTAGAAAAAAAAAATAGTGGTTTGAACCACTAAATCGACCTCTAATCTAACATTCAGAAGGTTCAAAATTAATATATAATCATAAAAAATCTTTAAAATACTTTAAATATACAACTTAATTTTTTGACGAGAGAGTTCGGGTGAACCCCCTCGACATACTCTAGGTCCGTCCTTGGTGATCGATGATGTAAGTATGACCAAAGAATTGTTACAAAGTTATTGACATAACCACACGCTAGTGTATATTATTGATTATCTATTGTTGTCCAAAAAAGGAAGAAGCATAATGTTTTTATTGTTGTTACCGTTTCATGCTTCCAACTTTTAAAGAGTGTATACGACGTACAAAATTTTAAATATTTAGCTTTAAGTAATCCAACAACTTAACTTAAATACTCAACAAAAACTAGTACAAATTGTCTCAATTGCAGGATATGGTTATGTCTTGTACTATTTTAGTGTTAGCACTTGCTTTAAGAATCAGTTGTTCAAATTCAACCATGGGAGTAGACAACTTAAACGCAACATTTTTGGTTGATAATGCTTCAACACAGAACATCATCGATAATGCCTTTCGTTTTCCTTCTCCATTGCCCACTTGGCCTTCAGGTACGTACCTGCTTTCTCAATTCCTGTAATCCTTTTTCATGTTTAGTATTTGAATCACTTGTTAATTTTAGGTGGATGCTTTGCAAGTGGATTCATTGATCTTGGAGGATTACAGGTGTCTCAAATATCATCCTTAACTAAAGTTTGGTCGACACATGAAGGTGGACCAGATAATCTTGGAGCTACATTCTTTGAACCATCAAATATACCAAATGGATTCTTTATGTTTGGTTCGTACACCCAACCTAATAATATTCCCCTTTTCGGATGGACTCTTGCTGGGAGAGACACATCACAAGGTACGCTCAAGATGCCAACTGACTACACCCTTGTATGGAGTAGTCACAACTTGAACATCAAGCAGGATGGTGTCGGCTATATCTGGTTGCCAATACCTCCTCAGGGTTATAAAGCCATAAGCCATGTTGTCACCGCCTCACCTCAGAAGCCTTCGCTGGATAAAGTTCGTTGTGTTCGTGATGATCTCACTGATGCATGTGAAATTCATGATTGGATATGGGGCACCAATGGCTTCAATGTGTACTCATTGAGACCTAGAGACAGAGGAGTGCGAGCCTTAGGAGTGCCAACAGGTGCTTTTATGGTACAGAACAGTGGAGCTGCAGAGTCACTAGCTTGTTTAAAGAATGTTAAATCTGATATATCTGCAATGCCAAATTTGAACCAAGTTAAGACATTGGTTCAAGCATACTCTCCGGTGATTTACTTTCATCCTGATGAAGAATACTATCCGTCATCAGTGACTTGGTTTTTTCAGAATGGAGCATTATTATATACCAAAGGACAGGAATCTTCACCTGTAGGTATTCATCCCACAGGTTCAAATCTTCCTCAAGATGGTTCAAACGATGGTGCTTACTGGCTGGACCTCCCGACTGATGATGCTGCGAAAACTAATGTCAAGAAAGGAGATTTACAGGGTGCCACAGCCTACTTACACGTTAAACCAATGTTTGGTGCAACACATACTGATATTGCTGTGTGGCTATTTTATCCCTTCAATGGACCTGCAAAGGCTAAACTCGAATTCATGACCATTTCCTTGGGGAAAATTGGAGAGCACGTTGGTGATTGGGAACATGTTACATTGAGGATTAGCAACTTCAACGGGGAGTTACAAAGCATATACTTTTCACAACACAGTGGAGGGATTTGGGTACCTGCCTCTCAGCTAGAATTTCAAAACGGTAACAAACCCGTGGTGTACTCATCGCTGCATGGACACGCTGCTTATCCAGGACCAGGAAAGAATTTGCAAGGGAGAGGAGATGTAGGAATCAGAAATGATACAGGGAAGGGGAAGTTGATGGACATAGGAACAAACTTTTTAGTAGCAGCAGCAGAATACTTGGGATCAACAATAGTGGAGCCAGTATGGCTTAATTATGGAAGGGAATGGGGTCCAAAAATTAGCTATGATATATCAAAAGAGCTGAGGAAAGTAGAAAGATTTATGATTGGCAAACTGAAGAAAGCTATTGAGAAAATAGTGAGAGATCTACCAAATGAGGTTTTGGGCGAGGAAGGACCAATAGGCCCAAAGTTTAAGGACATGTGGAGTGGTGATGAAAGGGGTTGAACATTGATATCCACAGAAATTTGCTTTGACCCAATATTTTTCTTATCTACTAGTCATTTCTCTTAAAACAAAAAGTTAATATGGTAAGAAAATAATAACAGTGAAGATTTCTCAAAATTATGATATTCTCTCTGTATCCTTATAATAAATTAAGTATATATTCTTTAGGCTCTATTATTTCGTTTTATGTGACTATCTATTATTTTGTGTAGTTTATTTGTAGTATAACTTTATTATTGTATTGTTATGTTACTATATGTTGTTTTGTTACTATAGGTTGTGCATTTTACTTCCATTATGTCTTTTCTAGTTTGTCTCTGTTTTGAACAGGAATCTACTAGAAACAATCTCTTTACATCATCACTAAGGTAGATGTAAAGTCTGCGTACACACTACTCTCCCATACTAATCGATCACACTATGTGAGACTACATTGGATATGATACCTACCAATGTATAATGTGTCACGCCCTGAGACTACATCCTAAACGTGGTCGACAGTCGAAAATCATTGTTTGTTCCCAAGCAAATCCTAGGCCTGACTGACTCAAGCAAATATAAGCTTTAAAACATAACTTAAATACAGGGAAAAGGGACAAATCTACTTCAAACTAGCATAAATGATGTGCAGATACCTTTATCATACTCTTGGGACATTGATTCCCCCGCAGTCCAAAACTAGAGCATATATGCCCTTCACTCTAACGAAAGACTAAATAGGGACACATAGAACAATCTTATCCATCAATCCGATATTTAATAAATGTCGGATTTCTGGAATAGATTATGACATGTATATGTCCATTAGTATAACGGGTATATACACTCTAGTTTTTAGATGAAAGAGGCACCACTGTCGCTTAAGTATGACGGAGGGTATCTGCATACTTTTAACAATAGTTCGGGGGTATATTTGTTCTTTTCCCCTTAAATTAATAGTCTCAAAACTTCTCAAGCGAAACTATCTCAAATAATCTGAAAACAACAATAGTTTGCTAGAATGGTTCGAAAAGAAAATACTGAAAGAATACTCTACACTATCTATCTATAACACCTCTTTAGTGCAATATGAAATATTGGGACAAGACTAACGATTCCTCAAAACTACTAAAAGGAAAGACAAAATGGAGACCCATAATGCAAGGAGGGTTCATCAAAAGCTGTCAAGGAGTTCAAGTGATCTCAATGTACGCTTGTTGATGATCTTGAATAGCAATACTGCATCATTAGAAGATGCAAGTTAAATGACATCACCGCATTGTATATACCAGTATGTAATATAGCTGAAGCGAAATAATTGAATTGAAGAGACCAAAATAATACTCTGCTAAATGCAAAGCATAAACATAGATAAGATCATTTAAAACTTCACAAGTGAAGATTTGATAACTCGTTGAACTGTATGTAAAAGTATAATAGAAATTAAAGAAAAGTACTCTTTACTTTGACAGGGACGTTCTCTAATCAACAACCATCACTATGAGACTCATGAGGATACAATGTCTAGCCACGCTTCCAGAACTATCCAATACCTTTTCGTGGTATGTAACAAACTCAATTCATGGATCCACTATAAAGGTCTGCTAAAAGGCAGCGAAGAGTCTCTCAAAAGTCGGTGTGATCCTAACCTACTTCGGCTACGTGGTTTATGGCGAATGTGAGTTGTCTAGTCTCTTCCCCATATCAGTGCTCAATACTACTCCAAAATATATAACTCAAAGCTCATAGAGACATAGGCTATAACCGTACCATTAGGCAACAACATATAACCAAGACCTATTCTAAATGCATCACAATAGACGACAAAATCCTTTGTACCCTTTGGTAGGGCAACACCGTAGTAGTTAACCGAGTTTTCAAATTTTGAAAGACTTTATCACAAACTTTAGACAATTTAATCTTAGTTATTGTCTTTTGAGTCAACTTAGTCAATAAGGATGAAATAGATGAGAACCCCTCGATGAACCTTTTGAAGTAACCTGCCAACCCCAATAAATTCCTTATATCAGTTGGGGATGGTGGGTATGGACCAATTCTGCACTTCCCCATTCTTCTCAGTGTTAACTCGATTTTTTCGTCAGACATATTTGTCCTAAGAATGCCAGATATTCAAGGCACAACTCACACTTAGAAAAGTTGGCATATAACTCTTGATCTTTGAGAGTTTGAAGGACTATTCTAAGATAATTGTATGATCCTCCTCATTCCTCAAGTAGATCGGGATGTCGTCGATGAATACAATAACAAACATATCTAGAAACTCCTTAAATACTCTCTTTTGGAGATCGATGAATGCTCCAGGACCGTTAATCAAACCAAAGTACATAACAATGATCTCATAATGACCATAATGGGTCATGCATGTTGTCTTCAGGGTATCACTTTCTCTAACTTTCAACTGATGGTAGCCAAATATTAGGTCCATCTTACAAAAGCAAGTGACACCCTATAGTTGGTCGAAAAGGCCATCAATAGGATGGGATACTTATTTTTTATGATGACCTTTTTCAAATGATGGTAATCAATACCCATAATAAGGAACCATCTTTCTTTCTCATGAATAAGATCGAAGCACCCAAAGCTGGGACACTTGGTCAGATAAAAATCTTATCAAGAATATCTCTCAATTACTCTTTTAACTCAGCTGGAGCCATTCTATATGGATAACTAATGTTTTTATGAGTAGTTGGAAGGATATTTATTTGAAGTCTATTTCCTGTTTTAATCGAGTTTCTTAAAAAATATACTTTTGTAGATTTTCGATTTTTCTAGAGTCACCACTTAATTTTGAGAAAATTAAGAAACTTTTTCTTTCAATTTGACTAAACAAGAAATCAAGTTGAAAGAGTTTTAAAGGGTTCGGGGATTCATATTAACGTCATAGGAAGGTTTTGAAAGCACTTAAGACGTCCGCTTACTCGCGGTTATTCGACAACTAATTTGATTTTGGCTACGGAAAACTTAAATTTATTAACTTGATTTTAAGACAAGAATTGTTTGAAAAAAATAATTGATTTGCTATCTAAGTAAGAATTCGTTTGCAAATTTATCCATTTTTAGTATCCGTTTGAAATTAATTTTTAAGTCAATCAAACATTTACGACGTTTGAGGGGATTTGGATTCTTTAACTTTAAAACTATCGAAAAATAAAAGCAGATAAATAAACGAAAATAAGCGAGAGAGAGAGAGAGAGAGAGTTGGGTCCGAATCGGGGTTATCTGTCCGCCAGGACCGGTTGTTGGACCCTTTGTTTGTGGGCCTTAGGCCCAGTTGACTTGTTACTATCCTAAAGTATTCATAATAATTATGATACAAAAGGGCTTAGGCCCAAATAAAATACAACATTTTTCAAAATCAAGGTTTTGGACTCTTTGTCCAAATCATTCAATTTCTTCGATCTTCTTCGATTCCTTTCACCTCGGGACCTGTTCGTCAATTTCGTGTCTTGAATCGATGAAGGGAAATGTGAGACTTTATGACCCTCTCTTGAAATGCAAGGGATGAGGAGTTCATGATGAACTCAGATAGATTTTACATGTAATAAAATGGCAAAAATTAGCGTAACAAAAAATGAAGTGTATCTTAAACAAGACAAAAATTAAAGGTGAGACCCACTTAACAAAATGAAATTAGAAAGTAAACAAAGGTCTCTAAAAGAAGGACAAAAGGAGCCAAGTTAACAGAGACTAAATTAACAAACAAACTAAGACACGAAGCAATATGCACACATATCCATATATAAATATATATACACACACACACACACAACGAATTTAAAAGGAAAATGCCGCCTGATCAGCGAGTTAAACATCACAAGCTTGGGTCTATGTGATTTTTATTCGATGAAGTCTAACAATGTTTTGCAGGGGTAAATGTAGGACTTTGCACAAGAGAAGGATGTTGTTAAGCAAAACACCAGATTGACCATTTAAATAAATAACAAACTAACAACCAGAAAAAAAACATCTTCAATCAAATCTAAGCAAACATAGGAGAGTGACTATGATTCATTAACAACTACGTGCTAAAGAAAATTTAATTGCTCAGCCCCAAAATATCGAACAATTGGAGGGTATTTAGACGGCCGAACTAAGTCTATAATTTTACTCTGAAGAAAACAAAGGACTATAGACACTTCCAATAAATCGCTGAGCTGGACACATGATATTTCTTGACAGATTCATGAGCATTAACAAATAAAAGAGGGGAAATAGATATCAATTTTTTGAAAGCAAATCACATTTTTAAAAGATCGACCGCAAATAATAAGAATTTCAACTAGAATCCGGACAAAATAGAGATACAAACTTGACACAAACACAACATGACGAACAATAGGATAGGAAGCGAGATTAAGAAAGGAAAGAGAGTCAGTCATTACACTTCCAACAAATGATAGATAGCACGACACAGAAAGTAAAAATATGGGAAAAACATTAAAGCAATGACTTTTGGAAATGGGAATGCCAAAATATACTCGGGTGAAAAGAGAAGAAAAAGAAAATATAATCATGAACCCAAGATACACAAAATATACTCAACAAAAATTGAAATTATGGCTAAAAATCATAACAACAAATAAACAGAACATGCACAGTATGCATTAATTTAACTCAAGCCCCCAACCAACAACTAAATCATATAATAATTCCCAACACCAGCAGAAGGAAACTATCAGAGGGATGGAGAGAAAAATAAAATCATGAGCGTGAATGAGTTACCTTTCTCGGGGCAGCAAAATGGAGACTACAAGCGAGACCACGATCCTCCAACCACAGAATAAAACTCGAGTCTCCAACAAAGAGTGAAAATATGAACAAGCAATGGAAATATGGATGAGAGTTTAATCTCTAAACAAAGAAAGATAAACTCTTTTGCTCACAAATGTATTTTGAGTGTTTTTTTTCGAGTTTTCACTTGAAATCTTTCCCAATCTCTTTTATTTTTTTGCCAAAATTCTGTCTCCTAATTCGAATTTCAAAAACCAAAAGAAGAAAAATCTCCCCTCTATGCAATGGAAGAGATTATTTATAGAAGAAGATTAGGGTTTTCAAATTTTGGAGAAGAGGTTAGAAAGGGCATTCCGAAATCCTCAAACAACTTTAATTCAAAAACCCTCACCATTTTTGGACCATCAGTATTTTCCGGAAGAAATGACTTCAAGCTAGAAGAGGAAAGGGACATAGATGCTTGGGATTGATCCCAAACGT